CCTTCCTTCCTTCCTTCCTTCCTTCCTTCCTTCCTTCCTTCCTTCCTCTCTCTGTCTTTCTTTCTGTCTTTCTGTCTTTTCTGTTGAGATGGAGAAAATGTTTACAAACTACTCATCTGACAGGTAATTAAGAACCAGAATATATAAAGAACTCAAATAACATAATAGGGAAAAAATCACAGTCTGATTTTAAAATGGTTAAAAGATCTGACTAGACATTTTACATTTTTCCAAAGAAGACATACACATGGCCAACCATGTTGATGGTTGATGAAAAAATGCTCAGCATCACTAATCATCAAAGAAATGCAAATCAAAATTAAAATTATATATCATCTTTCCCTAGTTCAAATTATCCAAAAGACAGGCAATAATGAATGCTGGTGAGGATGTAGAGAAAGAGGAAACCTCATACATTGTTGGTGGGAATGTAAGTTAGTACAACCACTGTGAAGAACAGTGGAACTTCCTCAAAAGCTGAAACTGGAAATACCATATGACCCAGCAATCCCTCATTGGGTATATGTATAAGAGAAAGGAGATCACTGTATCAAAGAGATATCAGAATTCCCATGTTTATTGTAGCACTATTCATAGCAGCCAAGATGTGGAATCAACCTAAGTGTTCATCAGCAGATGAATGGATTAAGAAATTGTGGTACAGATATTCAAGGAAATATTATTCAACCATAAAAAGGAATGAAATCCTGTCATTTGCAACAACATGGATAGAACTGAAGGACATTGTGTTAAGTGAAATAAGCCAGGCACAGAAGGACAAATTTCTGTGTTTTCACTCATACTTGGGAGCTAAATGTAAATTAAACTCATGGAGATGAAGAGTTGATTGATGATTATCAGAGGTTAAGAAGAGTAGCAGGGAGGGGAAGATAGAGTAGAGATGATTAATGCGTGCAAAAGTACAGTTGGAATCAATAAAATCTAGTCTTTGGTAGCATAATAGTATCACTATAATTAACAATTTATTGTTTATTTTGAAATAAGAGTGGAATTGGAATGTTCCTAATACAAAGAAATGATAACTGCTCCAGGTGATGGATACTCCAGTTACCCTGATTTGATCATTACACCTTCTATACGTATATCAAAACATCACGTGTACCCTATAATACAGTCAATGATTATGCACTCAAAATAATTAAAAATAAAGTACAATGGCACAAAAAGTTTACATAGTAGGTGCTGAAAACATGATTTTAATTGAATATAACTTTTTATTAGAAGAACATCCATGATAGACCAAGATATCTTAGTTTTCTTGCATACACACCTTGGTTTTTATTTTCTTTTAGATTGAAGAGCAATCAGATTGTAAGATCCTAGATGGACACTTTGTTTCCCCCATGGCTCACTATGTGCCTGATATCATGCCAATTGAATCTATTATTGCAAGGTAAGAATTTTTCGTTCAAAAAGATGAATTAGTACGTTATGTTCATTAAAATTATAATATCAACACCATGTTATTTGAAATTAGGAATAACAAGACAGGTCTAAATTATTGGAAAAGCTGAATTAGAAGATATTTTAATTCTTCTAAGAATATAAGAATGTAGGCCGGGCGCGGTGGCTCAAGCCTGTAATCCCAGCACTTTGGGAGGCCAAGGCGGGTGGATCACGAGGTCAAGAGATCGAGACCATCCTGGTCAACATGGTGAAACCCTGTCTCTACTAAAACTACAAAAAAATTAGCTGGGCATGGTGGCGCGTGCCTGTAGTCCCAGCTACTCAGGAGGCTGAGGCAGGAGAATTGCCTGAATCCAGGAGGCGGAGGTTGCAGTGAGCCGAGATCGAGCCATTGCACTCCAGCCTGGGTAACAAGAGCGAAACTCCGTCTCAAAAAAAAAAAAAAAAAAGAATGTAAGAATGTACAAGGATGTTCATTGAAGTATTGTTTATAGTTGCAAAAAATAGGTAATGCCTAAGTGTTAAACAATAGGGGATTAATTATCCATACTGTGGATACCATTAGTGTCATGGAAATATAGTCACAATATGTGAAAGTTTAAGATAATACAAACGATTTTTAGTTCCATTTTTGTAAACACACAAGTATGCACACACAATCACATGGATTTCTGAAGCATTTATATGAATGTACAAAGTCTGCTTATCTCTGAGTGGAGAGATTTGGGCTTTTACTTTCAGGCCATGCACGGTGACTCATGCCTGTAATCCCAGCCCTTTGGGAGGCCAAGGCAGGCAGATTGCCTGAGGTCAGGAGTTCTGAAAAATGCAAAAAATTAGCCAGGCATGGTGGCAGGCACCTGTAATCCCAGCTGCTTGAGAGGCTGAGGCAGGAGAAATCTATTGAACCCAGGAGACCGTGGTTGCAGTGAGTCAGGATCGCGCCACTGCACTCCATCCTGGGCCATAGAGTGAGACTCTGTCTCAAAAACTAATTTTTTAGTTTTGAATTTTTACAATGTACATGTGTTGATTTTATAATAGGAAGCAAAAGTACTTTTAAGTGAAGAAACTAAAAAACGTGGTAACTAAGACTAGACAAACTACATAGTTAGCTAAATAAAGTGCCTCAGGATTGATATGTAATTAGCATATCAATTTGAGATTATAAATAGATACTCTGAAATACCTGAGATTCTTATGTGGTTAATTATACAATAGTTGAAAACTGGCTTTTTGGATCTTCATTAGAGTACAGAGGTCACTCTTAGCCCAGTCTTGTTAATGGTTATTTGTTTGTTTTTTGAGACATAGTCCTGGTCTGTTGCCTTTGCTGGATGGAATGCCGTGGTGCTCACTGTAACCTCTGCCTTTCAGGTTCGAGTGATTCTCATGTCTCAGCCTCCTGAGTGGCTGGGATTATAAGCTTGTGCCACCATACCTAGCTAATTTTTGTATTTTTAGGACAGACGGGCTTTGGCCATGTCAGCCAGGGTGATCTCAACCTTCTGGTCTCATGGACTCCACCTGCCTCCCCTCCCAAAGTGCTGGGATTATAGGTGTGAGCCACCATGCTCGGCCACTGTTAATGGTTTGTGGGTTTTTTGGGTTTTGTTTTTTGAGACAGAGTCTCCAGAGTCTCACTCTGTTGCCCAGGCTAGATGGAAAGCAGTGGTCCTCACTGCAGCCTCCGCCTCCTGGGTTCAAGTGATTCTCCTGCCTCACCCTCTGGAGTAGCTGGGATTACAGGCACCCACCACCACACCTGGCTAATTTTTGTATTTTTAGTAGAGATGGGATTTCACCATGTTGGCCAGGCTGGTCTTGAACTCCTGACCTCAAATGATCCGCCCACCTCAACCTCCCAAGTGCTGGGATTACAGGAATGATCCACTGTGCCTGGCCTGTTAATGAGTTTTTAAAGTTGTTTTTAATTCTAAATCAACGTTGAACCTAGGTCTTTACACAGTTTTCTATTTTATGTTTTAACTAATTGTATTCAAAAAGAACAAAATACTGTACTTTTTTTCCCTTACATTGTTGATAATAAACTATTTGCTGCTTCTGGTTAGTAGGTATTTTCCCCTTTTAAGACTTTTGTCTGCAATAGCAATGATAAAATAGCAGTGATACATACAAGTGTGTTTGAAAAATTCTTCAGTCAAGAAGAGATTATTCTGTAATGAAAACCTACTTAACCTTTTAAGTGAATTCATTGGAATACTGAATTCCAATACATTCAGAACCTTATAAACGAACGTATAAAGTGCAAAGTAACAGAAGAGCACTTTGATAGACCTGATTAGCAGTTGTAGTCAGTTGTCCATTATTTTGTTACCCCTAAGGCATTATTTCAAATTGATATTTTTTTCTGTTGATAACCTCTGAATGAAATGCAAGCCATGTCATGTAGTGGAAAGAACTAGAACTTTGGAATTAAACAGATCTGGGATTGAACCCTGAGTCTACTACTTACTGACCTAATGTCAATTACTTAGTCTCTGAAGCAGGCTTTATAAAGTAGAACTAATAACACTTATCTCGTAGGGTTATTAAAAGTGATAAATAAGGAATGAGTCTGGGTGTGGTGGCTCATGCCTGTAATCCCACACTTTTGGGAGGCTGAAGTGGGTGGATCACCTGACATCAGGAGTTCCAGACCAGCCTGTCCAACATGGTAAAACCCCATCTCTACCAAAAATACAAAAAAGATTAGCTGGGCATGGTAGCGGACATCTGTAATCCCAGCTACTTGGGAAGCTGAGGCAGGAGAATCACTTGAACCTGGGAGGCAGAGGTTGCAGTGAGCTGAGATCACACCATTGCACTCCAGCCTGGGCGACAAGAGCGAAACACCATCTCAAAAAAATAAAAGGAATGAAAATGGTGTTCAGGGAATATAAAAAACATTAAATGTGTAGTTTATTTATGTATTTACTTATTTATTTGACAGAGTCTCGCTTTGTCAATCAGGCTAGGGTGTTAATTTTTCGGCCTGGCACAGTGGCTCAAGCCTGTAATCCCAGCACTTTGGGAGGCCGAGGCGGGTGGATCACGAGGTCAGGAGATCGAGACCATCCTCGTCAGCATGGTGAAACCCCCTCTCTACTAAAAATACAAAAAAAAAAAAAAACATTAGCTGGGCATGGTGGCGCATGCCTGTAATCCCAGCTACTGAGGAGGTTGAGGCAGGAGAATTGCCTGAACCCAGGAGACGGAGGTTGCGGTGAGCCGAGATCGCGCCATTGCACTCCAGCCTGGGTAACAAGAGTGAAACTCCGTCTCAAAAAAAAAAAAAAATTTTTTTTTTAATTTTTCTGTAGAGATGGGGGTTTCACTACATTGTCCAGGCTGATCTCAAATTCCTCGGCTCAAGTCATCCTCCTGCCTTGGCTCCCCAGAGTGCTGAGATTATAGGCTTGAGCCACTGCACCCAGCCTTAACTCTTAGATATACTTTCTTTTATCAATGCTTTATTAAAAGCATTCATTAAAAGCATTATCTGGTCATGATGATGTGGGCCTATAGTCTTACCTACTCAGGAGGCTACGGCTGAGGATTGCCTGATTGAGGTTAGAGTGAGCTATGATTGTACCACTGCACTCCAGCCTGGGTGACAGAGCAAGACCTTGTCTCAAAAAAAAAAATTTTTTTTTTTTTTTTTTTTTTTTTTTTTTTTTTTTTTTTTTTTTTT